ACTGCAGGGACGACCTCAGTTATCTTCTTGGTATACAAAATTGGTTTTTAATAGTAGCTGCAATGCCGCAGCTTCTATACAACGCCACTGAATGCTCACTGGAATCGGATAGCTACTGCTCGGAAGAGCTTGACATTCTTGTGTCATCCTTGGAGCAGTTCCAAGCAAGAATTCCCGGTTCAACGGTGGTATTGAATGCAATCAACAGACTCCGAACTTCACGCAATAGCGGCCGAGTCCTAAATACGACAACCTGTGAATCGCGAGAAAAGGTCTTGTTCAGCGAAGGGTATGATATTTTCAGCTTCCGCGACTTGTTTCCATTTCCGAATTCACTGTCACCAAGGCTTGCATTGTGGGAATTTTATGCTGGGGACATATTCCAAGGCCTGGAAGCTCCCATGGCCGCGCCCGAGGACGGCGCTCTCCGATTTCACCTCGATGCAGACCTACGATGACACCGGATCGGTTGATTACACCTGTCTACTGGACGAATACGAAATAGCGTCTGACAAAATGGCAGAAATTGGCTCAGTTATCCTTAAAAATAACCTACAGGACATGAGTATCCGCCAAGGCATGGCCTTGGGAGGATGGAAACCTAAGGTTGACGACATGGCGGCCCAGGCAGTAGACTGGCTGAGAGGCGGTGTGTTTACATTATCCTTCACACTTCTCATACTCCATATCCATAAACTAACTGTCATAGATGTGGAAAGCGCCTCCCCTGTCGGTGAGAGCTCCCTAGCCTTCAGTATTGCGGCAGGTGGCTTTACCTTTGGCCAATTCGGGCCCGATAATCACCTAGTCACGGATCCGCGCGGATACAGCGCGATTATCGAGGGCGAGGCAGCCACCTTCCTGGAGAATAATGACAGCCGCCTACTTCTCAATACTAAAGTCACCAACATTAGCTACTCGGACACTGGGGTCACAGTCTATAACCATGATGGCACCTGCATTACGGCGAACTATGCCATTTGCACCTTCTCCCTTGGCGTCCTACAGAACATGGTGGTGGACTTCAACCCTGAGCTCCCTTTGTGGAAACGCACTGCGATCCAAAAATTCACCATGGGGACCTACACCAAGATCTTCATGCAATTCAACGAGACCTTCTGGCCGAAGAACAGCCAGAATTTACTATATGCCTCGCCGGACCGGCGTGGCTACTTCGCATCCTTCCAATCGCTGTCTGCACCTGGCTTCTTAGAAGGCTCGAACATCCTGTTTGCAACTGTTCTCGCTGAGGAGGCTTACCGCGTTGAGCGCCTTTCCGATACTGAGACCCAGGCTGAAATCATGGCCGTCCTACGACAGATGTTTCCCGGGACCACTATCCCTGAACCAACTGCTTTCCTATATCCTAGATGGAACAAGGCGGAGTGGGCATATGGGAGCTACTCAAACTGGCCGCTAGGCACCACTCTAGAGATGCACCAGAACCTGCGCGCCAATACTTCGCGATTGTGGTTTGCGGGCGAGGCGACAAGCTCACAGTACTTTGGCTTTCTACATGGGGCATGGTTTGAGGGTAGGGAAGCTGGAGCGCAGATTGCGGGGTTGATACTGGGCCATTGTACAAATGTGACCGGGGAGAACGAGTGTGGGGGAAGGAAGTATTATGAAACCTTGACAGGCACCACGCCCTCAAACGCCTATACCGTAGAAAACGGATGGCCTGGTGGTTTGCTTTATTAGACTACCAAGTTGTAAATAATAGTGTGCCAATGCTACGAGAAGGATTCTCTTGCTTATTGATGCGACTGCAGTGCTCAGATGGTGCTCCATGGGAAAATTCGGCTGCGGAGGAAGCCTATAGACTGCGGACTTCGTATTCAGAGGAACTATTGGAAAGTATCGCCTCGAATAGTCCAAGTTGTCGCACACAGCTTTCTACTATACTGAGTTATGAGCCGCTGAGTGCAGCCAAACGGAGCACTTTCGTCTGGACGGATAACTAGAAAGAGCAAGTTAGATCCTCGAAATAAGCCCCGCATATGGCTAATTACCTACCTTTGCCCCTATGCAAAAGCTCTGACATCAAGCCTATGCATTCCTCTTCGTGTAGAACCAGCCACCTAAGTGCTATAGAGTCTCTAGAACAATTCCGTCTCGCTGTCCTCCTGGGTGACTATCAACGCCCCCGGTAGAGACTGCTTCAAGTCGATGCTATGTGGCATAGGCCGAAGCGTATGTCTGACATCTCGTATTATTTCGATTTTATTGTGGAATGAGATAGGCGAAATTGAGGAAATTGTCGCGAGTGATATTTTTAGGAGCTCTTCGATGATATGATCCCAGGAAAACACTATATCCTGCCCTATCACGTTGCCTAGAACAACATCTCTGTAGGCATACTACCGGTGTAGTGTATCGAAGTCTAGCCACTTCTGATGGATCTTCAAAGCATGGCGATTTATATCGAAAGCGACCTCGATATCACTAATATCACTTTCGATATCGTCCTTCCGAAGGTCGATTCTGGTAGGGTGCACACTTCCGCACCTTTGAAGGGTTTAGCCTGCTCTTCTGCTGGGGTTCCTCGCTATAGAAGAACTGTGTGTTCTCAGTTTCACGTAGGAGATGCTTCTATATTAGGCTCCTCGTGCAATTTTCCAATAGCCGGCCGGCAGGCCGACTTAACGTCTGCTGCTTAAGGGAAGTTTCGGAGAAGATTGACGTAGATCGGAAGTAAGACGGTCTTATACTTACGACTCGTAGACTCCTACATGCGCCGCACAACGTCGGCTTCTGCACGCTAGTTAAGTAGCGTTTGCCTATCGCGACCGAATATTCTATTGGCAAAATTATAACTAAACTTGAATACCCTAAGACTTGGAGGTAGGCGCGGAAAGAATCATTCCTTTGACGCAGACCTTACCTTAGAACCTCCAGTCTAGAAACAGGTCCCCGTTGTCGGTTTCGATAATGTGTGAGGGGTAAGAGGACTGCGGACGTCTAAAGTTATCTTTATCTATTCCTTAAACACCGTAAGAGATACCGACTAATCCTTTCTAGAGTGCCTTACTCTAATCATATCGGTGACGTCCCCATTAATACGAGAGCGTAATCGAGCTATATCGTCCGCTACGTCTGTCTGGGAGCTGGTATCGGTTTTCTTCGACGGAAATATCACGTAGTAGAAGCGTGACCCGTATAGCCCCTATAAAGAAAATTTCTAGTTATAGTTGCTTATAGCAGCTTTTACCTTGTAAAATATTCTCAAAAGATACCTGGTCAAACGGTTGTCACTGCGTTTGAACAGAACTATTTTTGTATTGATATAGTCCTTGGCTGTTTAAGTGCGACACGTCGCACTCTTCATCTGGCAATTCCTTAAGCACATCTTTCGACTTCCATCAACACGGCCAGATCACCTTTCGAGCATTGATTCCAGTCCTTGAACACGCCAATCAGTCGTTCCTGAGACAGTTCCAAAGCCTGATCAAAGAGATGCAGTCGGGATAGCTGCTTGTTAGGACTAAGCTGAAGATAGTATCTCCCGTCGCTCAATTTGATGCTAGCCTCCCTCGAAGCACTACTATTTTGATCTAGTTTCTCCTCATCGAGGTGTTTGGGCACGCACGAGACACATGCGCCGATGGAGCCCTGTAGGTCGAGCCGCCGGGAAGGCGAGTTTCGGATCATCGCGTTCGAGATCTGCTAGTTTCTCCAATATGGGTCGAAAGCGCTCGATCGCCAGCACACCTTTCGGGTTTTCTTCCTGCTACGAGAAAGAGGATTAGTGATTGTTAGCCACAATATTTAATATGCCATTGCACGTAGCTTATTAGTGGTGGTCCAAGATCGGATGTGGCCTGTGTATGGGCTTTATCACTCTGAATTGGGATTTCATCTGGCTGCTGGTTTCCTTTCTCATTTGGTCCGTTAGTTCTTTGGGACATCCATTTTGTCCACGGGTAGAGAACCACGGTTAAACACAATTTACATTCCACTTGGCGCTGGTCTCTCTTATAGGATACCCGTGTATAAACAGATAATCCTAGGTCCTTACGGTGGCGGGACGAATCGTTCAACGCAATCGGAAATGTGACTGGTGTTGGTGGCTGTTTGTTTTGGCGGGCTGCTGGACACCCTATCTCCGTTGATAATAATTGACATATTGAATTAACAATTTTTGGATAGCCAGATTTGGTATACGGGAGTTGAAGGAAGGGCTATCAACGGTTGTTGAAAGCCTATATGAATCTTGTATCAAGCTCAAGCTCGTATTAGGCCTTGTTTGAAACCGTGGGCGGCGAAACCCCCCCGTGTTCAACTAAACGTCTTAGATGGTATTAATCACTATTTGTCGAACGAGGGACACTAATGTGAACTAATACCAAAAACTTACTATACCGAGCAAGTGGTAAAATGAGTGTCTATTCTAAAGAGTAGTAAGTGAATCACCTAGGGTGTAAAGTTACCGCCACTATCACCCCAATTTTTCACACCTAGGCTAGTAAGGTTTTATCACTACTTGAAGGGGAAAGGCATATTGAATGATTGATTGAGTAGATCAATATGGCTTGAGCACGGCTAAGCGGACAGGAAGCCCTATTTTCCACACCCTATAGTCGTATGTATCAGGTTACGTGCAAGAGAGTCGTATATAGTGAAGGAATGAGCGCGTGGTGAGGAACTCCCGATATGAGCTAATAATTGTGATTGCACCATATCCGGGTTAGATTCTGGCACTCCATCATTCGGACTAATTTGTTGGAGAGTAGGGCACTGATTGATCATAGCATGGCGACACAGAAGGGAAGAAAAAGAGAGAGAGAGGTGTGATCCAGGGGCAAAAATATCTCTGGTTAGACTTGTTTGGGATATTGGGAGTGCACGGACAGGCAGAGTAGGGAGATGTTGGAGCCTGGCGGGCGGTGGCCAACCGCCCTATTTTTCTCCTTTCGGTTTGTCCCGAGATTTCAATAACTGAAAAGAACTCAATAAGACTCATTTCAAGTAAGATAGAGCTGTTTGAAAGAGACAACAAGATGCCGTCGTTGCTTGGCCTTCCCTTGGAACTCCTGGTGCAGATCGTACAAGGAACGATCCCGGTGGATTTTGAAGCCACCGCCCTCTCTTGTAAGACTCTCTTTGCTGCCAGTACCCCTTTCCGAGCGCAACATGCTACCCGACGGAAACGGTTTCGAAACTTTGCATTTTCGCGAAAAGTTGAAGAAAAACCAGAAGGGGCAGAGGAATCTGACTCGGGCGAATATTGGGATGAAATCACCCAGGAAACAGGCATCCGAATCATGACCACGCGGGAGCTGTTGGAACATATCGCTTTGGACCACTCTGTGGCGCAATACATACAATCTATTGACCTGAGGGGGTCCGCCCTGGATACAGATGAAGAGGAAGATGAAGATGTGATAAACTCCCTGGAGGCCGAGGTACCTGAGACTCTAAGAAACTTGGTACTCACGTCGCCCTTCATTGAAGCCGTAAATGGGGATCTCGATGATTGGATTAGAGGAATCCGATGGTCCACAATATATGCAGACGTCTTTCTCCTGACCTTGCTATCGCAAGTGCGAAAGGTGGCTTTACACCCACGTTGGGATGAACTGGATCCTCTTAACAAGCGCCACACTTGGACCAACCAACGTCTTTGGCCGGTACTCGAACTGATTACGCACCGGGCCAATCACCTTGAGGAGTTTCCGGATGCGCCATTGTCCATGCTCTCCGCCGTGCAGCCATCTCGTGATACCGGCTATGAAGAGAAGTCCCCATTGACACCATTTGTGCCATTCCTGGCAATCAATTCTGTGTCCGAAGTCTCCCTGCGCAGTTGCATCTTCAATGATGACGGGTACACTGGAATCGCGTTTGACCCGATGGTTGGATGCTACAGCACAAACCTACGGAAATTGGCTTTAGAGTCAAGTGTGGCCGCCCCGGAGGAGCTATCACAGTTACTCAAACGAATTCCAAACTTGGAGATATTTGAGTTTTCTCACGAAACCAAGTGGCATGGCTGCGGCTATAACTGGAACATCGGTGCATTTCTGGACACAGTGCAGACTGTCTGCGGAACGACACTCAGGGAATTGTCGGTGACAATACTTAATCAGTGGGGCAATAAAGGAGCCACACTGATGGATATGACTCGTTTTCGGAAATTGGCCGTCCTTGAATTGGACGTCGACATGCTGTGCGGTCCAGCATATGATCCCTCAATGAGAGATTCTGAATGGGCTGAATTTGACTCGGTTGGCAGTCAGGCCTGGCCCAAACTGACTGATATGTTGCCAACATCCATTGAAAGGTTCAACTTGTATCTCAACACATTCGGTGATGACCATCTAAGGTGCATATCTCATTTAATTGAGGGCCTTTCAGATGCTCGGGCCACAAAACTGCCACATCTAAACGAATTGGGCCTTTTTGTGCGTATGGATTCAGACTCAACGATTCCGGACGTGGCACTAAAGGAATTGAAGGCTGCGAAGAGTAGTGGCTTTTCAATCCTGGAGCTTGGGACGTCCACCATCATTTTATAAATATTTTCTTTTATCTTTATTAGACGGTAGTCATTGACTTTGTATGTAAGGAGCTAGATCTCTGCGATCCTCCGGGTGAAGGGTCTTTATGTTGGATAGAAAAGTTTCCCTATTATTTTCACTGGATCATGAAGCTTTTACGCGTGTAGTTGTTTATTAATCTGCTCAGAATCTCACGTTATCGCAACCGCAACTGAATCGTTTGAAGTTGATCCTTAGTCGGCAGGAAAGCCTTGCAAATGAAAGGCGACTCGGTCTCAATGCCTACTACGATGCTTTTCTAATCTTTGGACATGTATTTTTAGATGTCATTGTCGATGTCTTTCTGGATGTCTTTTAGGACAATCAGTCGGGACCCGTACAATGGGTTGAAAGGGCACAATCCCTGTAAAACCGCCTTTTGATACCTATCTACATCTGTAGTATCTCGATGCCTACCTGTGCCTAGAACGGCTTACGTAAAAAGAGATGCAGTTCCAAACTGGGCAGGTACTACCCAGGCTCGGTCCAATGGATATCCCAGTGATCTCCTCTGTAAGTGCTCCTCTCAAGTGCCCCTCTTCTCTGATTCCCCTCTCACTTTCGCTTCATCGTGACCTCTAAGCACTCCCTCCTCCTGTTCTATAATTTTCCTCCTGTATTAACCCTCTCCATTTGCTGGTCAGCTAGGTACTAACTTTGGGATTGCTTAGTTGTGACAACGGGGCAGATCAGCTTTCAACCCTTGGTTAGCTATTGGCCCTACAGTATCGCCTTCCACCGATAACGAAATACAACCTGCCCCTTGGGCCCAACGTTAAGAGGCTGAACTACACCGCTGTCTAACAGGGTCTCGCCTTGTAAGCGCACACCCCGGCCACGCTCAACGAAGGGTGCAAAGCAAAGCGGGGACTTATGGTTCAAAATAATCAAGCTTCCACTCCGGCAGGTTTAGAGTACAAGACCGGATCTGACGGCGGGGAAATGGCCATTGTACCATACGTTGGAGAAGCCGCAGAGCTCCCCGAGACGCTCAGTTGGGTGAATGGCAAATGAGAGTCCAACGTCACGATTTCACTCCAT